CCACCCGGAGGAGGGAAAGGATTTTAATGACAAATACAGGAATCCAGCAGATGGCGTCAGAGAGCACCACAAAAAAGAAACGGTTGGCCACAGCCACCTCTCTTCCAGCGTAATTCCTGACTTCCGACGTCCGCCAGGTGGTGTTTTGAGTGGAACAGAACCTCGTAATGTAAGAAAACACAGTGACGAGAAAAGCCAGCAAGCTCACACCTGTCGAGGGGAGAAGCACACCTCTTAACATCTTGGCTGTACACGTCAACGGGAAAAACAGCCGCGGTCTTTAGATGGTAAATACTGTGACTGGTAGACCAGTACTTCCAAAAAGAGCCGTGGTGGCACAACGGTTAGGCGCTCTGGTGCTACCTGAAAGGTTGCTGGTTCGAATCCAGCCAGTGGCTCCGCAGGAGAAAGATCTGTTGATCTGCCCCCGTAAAGATGACAGCCTAGAAAACCTTATAGGGCAGCTCTACTCTGTCGCATGGGGTCGCTGTGAGTCGGAATCCGCTTGATGGCACAGAACAATGACAATAGTGGTATTCAGCTAATGCCCTGAGTTCAAGGCTATACTCTGGAACAAACCAAAAAATTGGATTTGCCAGGTCAGGAAAAGTGGTTTCAAGTATATAAACCCTTTATGAAGAATTCTAGACCTCTGAAATTCAGATCTAAGTGTATTATGCGGTGAACTCTAGCTTTTTTGAAGTATGGAAAAAAGCTATTTTTTTGTAGCTCTGTGAAATCTCAAAACTTAAGGGATTACTGTTGTTGAACGTGTGTCTCAAAAAATAAGTATAACTCCATTCACTTCTCTTATAAATATGGGTAAGATAACTTAAAGATTTATCAAGAATAGAATCCCCTCAGAAATGTTATCCTCTTTTTTTTTTTTTTGGTCTTAAAAATAACACATAGATCAAAAATAAATTTTTGTTTATTTTTCTTCAGTTTGCTTAGGATAATTTAAACTACTATGGTTCAGAACCCAGACTCACTCAGAAAAAGATGAACAAACAAGAAAAAAATTAAAAATTCAACAGTATGAATCGCTTTTTCAGGGACAGAGAGGTTCAGAATTTTCTCACTGACATCACTGTCCCCTAGAAGGCTGACTCCTTAGTCCTTCAGTTGGCTTTTTTCTGCTGTAATAAAAATCCTATGCATCATCACGGAATTTCTCATAGTGAACATAAAATTGGCGTATACGAGCATTTTCAAGGTTATTTAAAAAATGTTCATCTGAACCTAGACTGTATGTAAGACTGTGGGTGGAGTCTAGGAAGAAGTACTATAACTTGAAAGATGTTCTGTTATTTTTGATTCTAAAATAATGCCGGTGATCATGAGGGTGATGCAGGACTGGGCAACATTGTGTTCTAATGTACATAAGGTCGCTGGGACTCGAAGTTGATTCAACGGCGTCTGTCTGTCTGCCTATGTATATGTCTGTCTGTCTGTCTATCTGTCATCTGTCTATCCATCCATCCATCCTTCCATCTCCCTCTGTAATTTCTTTATCAAAACCATTTCATATTTAGTGAAATCTCACTTTAAAAAGCCATACAATAGAATTTTATAAAATTGGTTTGTTTGAGACCTCTTGTCAGAAATTTTAGTTAAGGATAAAATAACATGCCTGTTAGAAGATGCTTCTCTGGTCCAAATTCTGACGACAGACTCACAGAGAGGGTCAAAGTGTATATTCTAAATACACCAGAGGAACGAAAGATGGACGCTGGGGGCCGGATATACGGAAACTGTCCACACTATCTTTGCAGCTTCTCTGTAAATCTAACATGACTCTCAAGTTTAAAAATTAATTTAAAAAAGTATATTCTCATGGTCTTCAAACAGAAAAAAAACTGTACTTTATCTAGTGCTGTCGGGCGCCTTCTCTCCCATGCAAACTGTGTGAACAGCTGGGTGATGATGATGATTGTGTGTGTGTGTATCATTTTCTCTTTATCTACCAAAAAACCAAACCCACCGCTGTCCAGTCGATTCCCACTCATAAGGACCCTGGAGGACAGAGTAGGACTGCCCCATAGGGTTTCCAAGGCTGTAATCTTTACCGAAGCACACTGCTGATCTTTCTCCTGTGGAGGAGCTGGTGGGTTCAAACTGCCAACCTTTTGGTTAGCAACCAAAGGGTTCTAACCATTACCAGGGCTCCTTATCTCTGTGTCTACCTGGAATGTATTAGAGGGACCGACACCCTGCTAGCTGACCTCGTTTCCTAACTGTAACAGGCAGCCACACGGAACTTTCTGGCCTCCACTGGGTCTGCTCCCTGGCCCTGGGCCTCCGACTGCACTCCTTCTGGAACCCCCCAGCCTCCCCCGCCCTCACTTGGCTAACCTCCGCAGCCTCTGGGCCTCGTTTGGATGCTGTCTCTACTTGAAGACTTCCCTTGCCTAGTCCTCAGATCTGGGGCTCCTGGGGCACCCTGCATGCCTCCACTGTGGTATTTATTGTCCTGGGATGCCAGGCCTGTTTACTGGTCTGCGTCTTCCCCGATGCCCTGCAAGGTCTGGAGGCTAGGACTGCTGTGCTGTGTCTGCATTGCCCATGATGGGGCTTAACAAGTCCTCGGTGACTCAGTGACAGTGTGTGTCTGTGCGTGTGTCCCTGTGTGTCTGTGAGTGTGTCTGTGTGTGTGAGTGTGTCTGTGAGAGTGTGTGAGTGTCTGTGAGTGTGTCTGTGAGTGTGAGAGTGTACATGTGTCCGTGTGTGTCTGAGTGTGTGTGTGTGAGTATGTGAGAGTGTGTGTGTCTGTAAGTCTGTCTGTGAGTGTGTCTTTGTCTATGAATGTGTGTGAGTGTGTGTATGTCTGTGAGTGTATGAGTGTGTCTGTGTATGTCTGTATGTGTGTGTCTGTATCTCTGAGTGTGTGTGTGTCTGTGTGAGTGTGTGTATGTCTATGAGTGTGTATGTCTGTGGGCATGTCTGTGAGTGTGTCTGTGTATGTCTGTGAGTGTGTCTCTATGGGCGTGTGTGTGTGTGTCTATGGGAGTGTATCTGTGTCTGGGCATGTTTGTGTGTGTGAGTGTGTCTGTATGTCTGTGAGCGTGTCTCTGTGTGTCTATGTCTGTGTGTGTCTGTGTGTTTGTGAGTGTGTGTGAGTGAGCCTGTGTAGGTCTGTGTGTGTCTGAGTGTATGTGTGTGTGTATGTCTGTGTATGTCTGTGTGTCTGTGAGTGTGTCTGTATGTCTGGGCGTGTCTGTGTGAGGGGGGAGGATCTCTGTTATGTGCACTGTGCTAGGAACAGTGAGGAAATGAGCAATGTGGAAATACAGACAACAGGCCAGTGTCCTGGGAATGACGAACCCATGAACAAGTGACTATAAAGCAAGGTGGTATGTGAGGCGTGTTATTAAAATGGTGCAGGTAACGTGTTTTGTTTTCGAGAGGAGAAGGAGAAGGTTCATGAGGTCGAAAGGCTGGAGAAGAGCCAGAAACGGTGGTTAGGGCCATTTGGTGACTGTCGTAAGTGCCTAGGAAACCCTGGTGGTGCAGTGGTTAAGAGCTGGGCTGCTAACCAAGAGGTCGGCAGTTGGAATCCAGCAGGGCTCCTTGGAAACCCCATGGGGCAGCTCTGCCCTGTCCTCCGGGGTCGCTGTGAGTCGGAACTGGCTCAGCCGCAGCAGGTTTAGGTACAGCAGGGGGTCAGTGGGGTCTCCGAGCCGAGGCGCGCCGTCACTGTGGTGCTCAGGGAGATGGTGAGGGCAGCAGTGGACAGATAAACTGGAGAGGGCAGGCCCCAGGGGCTGAAAGACCAGATGGCCTAATGTAAAACGAAGGTGATGGCAGGGGGTACAGACCAGAAGAGGCAGAGACAGAAGGCATATTTCGATGAAAAGAAAGGGCAAATAGAGCTCGGTGACTGTTTGCTCTTTCTAATATAGCAAAGTCCAGGATTAGTCATGGCGTGATTCAAAGAACTTGATTTGGTCTTTGTCTTTGGTTCCTGAAAGATGTTGTTGGTTGCCATGGAGTGGATTCTAACTCAAGGCGACCCCGTGTGCACAGAGTAGAATGGTGCTCTGTAGGGTTTTCAAGGGTGTGACCTTTCAGAAGCCGATTGCCAGGCCTGTCTTCTGAGGTGCCGCTGGGTGGGTTTGAATCACCAATCTTTTGGCTAGTAGTTGAGAACTTAACCGTTTGCCCACACCAAACCCTTGAGTTTGGTAACTATTTGGATAAGGGGAAAGGATGAGCAGAGGGCATCAGAATCATAATACTGCCCAGTGAAAAAAAGGAGTGCCTGCGTGGTGCAAATGGTTAATGCACTACACTGCTAACGGAAGATTGGAGTTTTGTGTCCACCCAGAGACACCTCAGAAGAAAGTCCTGGCAATCTACTTTCAGAAAGTCCACCATTGAAAACCCTATGGAGCACAGTTCTACTCTGACACACACGGGGTCTCCATGAGTCAGAATCAACTTGGCAGCAACTGGCTTTAGTGTAAGAAAGGACATGGGAAAGGTCTTATTTAAGCAGGAAAGATACATATTAGACAACTAAAAAAAAGTTTTTGAACCTTAAAGAAGTAAACTTGTCATTGATTTGTCACAGAGAACTTAGGGTCTTCTTTTCTAAAAAATTGTGGAGAATTAAGAAAACTGAAAAGGAGTTTCATTAAAGCCTCATTATGTCGTTGACTTTATAGCTGCAGATGACAAATATCAATTAGTGCTTCTGGCATTTCCATTCGGGTAATTCTCCTACTAGTGAGTTTCCAGACTTTTGTTAATATTTATTTAACTGATAACTAGATCGTAAAAATAAAAAAAAAAAAGAGTTCAAATGACTTGGTAGGATCATAGGACAAGGTTCTAGAAATCCTTCAGCTCGTAGTCACTCCGATGAGCAAGAAATCAAAGGATCTTACAGACAATAAAAAGATCATCCGCAGATCCTGATAGCGTATCTTCATTTTCCAGGCTGAACCTCTATAATAAGTATAATAAATTTCAACAGACAGGTAGCAAGAATTTTCTTTAAAAAGGACACAGTCTTGTTTATATAAGGAGCTCTGATGGCACAAGAGTTAAGCACTCAGCTGCTAACCAAAAGGCTGGTGGTTCAAGCCCACCTAGCAGTTCCACAGGAGAAAGACTTGGCGATCTGCTCCTGTAAAGATTACAGCCTAGGAAACCCTACGGGGCGGTTCTGCTCTGTCACATGGGGTCACTATGAGTCAGAATCGATTCAACGGCACCTAACAGCAACAACAATAGTAAATTGATTACATTAGCTTCTTTTCTGAAACAGATGAATTCACCTCTGCTGAAATTTATGGCATTTCTATCAAAATTATGTTTGTCCAGGAAAATGAAAAATATCATTTACCTAGGAAAATCCCAAGAGAATATCCCTTGCTTCCAATATCTTCTGTTTGCTCATAATAAAGTGGGAAGCAGACTCCATTTTTCCCGTAAAAGTTTCCGAAATAATCCTCATTCCAAAATGGGATTACGGCGATTAAAAGTCCCGCCATCCAGATGCCGACGAGAATGATGGCTGTCTGTCATTTTCCCGGACGGATGTTGCTGAAGGGAAAGACGACCACCAGGAACTTCTCCAGAGTGAGGTATGTGAGCAGCAAGACGGAGACCTCGGTGGAGAGCATGGCCAGGCAGCCCAGGAGATGGCACTGCAGGCTCTCCATCCACAGCGAGGCGTACTTCTGATACTGCCCTTGGTACTTGATATCGAAGACACCCACGAAGAACAAATAAACGCCCATGAGGCAGTCGGCACATGCGGAAGAATTGGTGCGGTGTGTGTTGGTGTTATGGATTGAATTGTGTCCCCCCAACAATTTGTGTTGTAAATCCTAACCCCGATACCTGTGGTTATAATCTCATTTGGGAATGGGTTGTCTTTGTTATGTTAATGAGGCATGATTAGCATAGGGTGCATCTTAAACCAATCTCTTTTGAGATATAAAAGAGATTAACAAGAGCAGTGACGGGGGAAGAGAGTTGCCAAGCCACATGAAGTTTGCTCAGGAGGAGATGCTCGAAGAGACAAGGACCTTCCTCCAGAGCCGACAGAGGCAAAGCCTTCCTCTAGAGCCGGTGCCCTGAATTCAGACCTCTAGCCTCCTAAACTCTGAGAGAATAAATCTCTGTTAAAGCCATCCACTTGTGCTGTTTCTGTTCTAGCAGCACTCGATAGCTAAGACAGTTGATAATTCCCAGCATCTCCACCAAATGTGCAGCATTGGCCTTTTCTGACTAGGTCTTGTTCTTTATCCTGTATTAAGTGAACTAGAAGCCACCAGACTTCAAAATCTGTGCCATTTCCAAAGCACCACACTGCATTTTTGTTTTGTGGTTAAAAAATGGGGTAGGGTGATTTTTTTTTTTTTGGCAGGGGTGGGGTAGGCTAGAGGTTCAAGTCCACACAGAGGTGCCTCAGAAGAAAGGCCTAGTGATCTACTTCTGAAAAATGAGCCATTGAAAACACCATGGGGCACAGTTCTACTCTGACAGTGACACAGTAAACATGCATTATTTGCTTAGTTAATAAAAGGAATCATTTTCTGGGCCTAAGGAGCATGAATTTTATTGCAGTTGAACAAAGCTTAGTTTTACTACCCACAAAACATCCTCCATCATCCACCCCTTGATTCGTCTGCTCCCTGTGACCCCATTTCTAAGACAAGTTACCTCAGCAAAAGGACATTGCAAGCTCATGTAATCTGAAACAGAGCAGCAGGTTCATATTTAGAAAATGAAAATTGCCTGGCATAATACAATTCATATTAAATGCTACTGTGGAAGGCCCGTGTGTGTGTAGCACACAGCAGACAGACAATATCCTAAATCTACTTAGATAGGAAATGTACTTACAGCAAAGGATCTTGATAGACATAGCATGAGTTGTATTTTCAGCCTGAATGAAAGATCTCATGCCAATGACAAACAGATTTCCAAAGCAGGTAATGAAAGCTATCACCCAGCCAAATATTCTGAGGATATTGTTAGCCAAGAGGTCTTCAAATGAAGTAATGCCGTCAGTCAAGGACATACATATTCGAACATGGGGAGCGTAGGAGCAGTAGTGAAAGTTTTTGAAATAACTAAAGTGAAAGGGGAAAAAAAGAGTCACCATACAGTAACGACACAGACACTACAGCTGTAATCTTACCAGGGTTGCAACTCCGCGGTGGGTACGCAACTTTGCAACTCTACATTGGTCTACACTGGGTATGTAACTTCACAACTCTACACTGGTCTACACTGGGTATGTAACTTTACAACTCTACATTGGGTAATCAACTTCACAACTCTACATTGGTCTACACTGGGTATGTAACTTCGCAACTCTACATTGGGTAATCAACTTCAGAACTCTACATTGGTCTACACTGGGTATGTAACTTCACAACTTTACATCGGGTAAGCAACTTCACAACTCTGCATTGGTCTACACTGGGTATGTAACTTCACAGCTCTACATTGGTCTATCTTGGGTATGCAACTACGCTGGATTTTTTCATTTATTTTTGTTTAGTAGTGATTACACAATTATAGAGTTCTTCATTAAGTATCATGTTATTTTAGGCATTGTCCTTCTTCTAAAGACCAAGAACATAAAAGACACAGAAATTCCCTTCTGTAGCTCACTAAAAACACACGTGTCTTGTACTTTTTTGAAATGCTGATGCACCCTCACTTTTAACCACCCCTTCTCCCTGACGCTGGCAGGCAGGGAGGGTCTCTGAGGAGAGAAAATCCCATCTCACTGTGCCTAAGAGGAGACACAGCCATCTTAAATACGGATTTCTTACCAGAACTTCCAAGGACTTAACTTCTAGAGAAAAATGGAGGTCTGTTTTTGGCCAATGTTTTTATTATTGGAATGTGTGGAATTCTGAGGAGTTTGAACTGATGAGGCCATTTGGCCCATTACTATCCCTCAAACCTGCGTGCTTGGGATCTTCTCACATAAAACTCGTTAGAATTTTATTCTTTCACCTCTTTTAGTCCATTTCTCTGCTCTTTTCTCTCAGACTAATTCTTTTTTTTTTCCCCTTTGTCATCTCCCAATTCAGTTTCTACACCAGAAAGTTAAGCAGCACAGCTTTGCTGCACCACAGCCTTCAAGGCTTTGTGTGACTGGAGCCCTCACTGCCCCACCCTTCCTTTCTCCCTGTGATTCAGTCCACCCAGCCACACTGGCCTTCTTGCCAGTTGTTAGACGAGCCTGGCTCATTGCCTTCTCAGAGCCTTGCTTTTGCTGTTCCCTCTACCTGACACAGGAGGCCCTGGGTGGTGCAAACAGTTAACTTGCTGAGCTGTTAACCAAAACGTTGGTGGTTTGAGTCCACCCAGAGGCATCTCGGAAGAAACACCTGACGATCTACTTCTGAAAAATTCAGACGCTGAAAACCCTATGAGTCACAGTCCTACTCTGACACACATGGGGTTGCCATGAGTTGGAATCCACTCAGTGGCAATGGGTTTACTGCCCAGAAGACTCTTCCCCCAGGTATTGACAGGGGTCCCTTCATCTTGCTGATTTCTATTTAAACTGTAAGTATTCTATCTCTTTATCTTACTTTACTTTCTTCATAAACCAAACCAAACCCGTTGCCATCGAGTCCATTCTGACTCATAGCAACCCTATAAGACAGAGTAGAACTGCCCATAGGGTTGCCAAGGCTGTAATCTTTACAGAAGCCGACTACCACATCTTTCTCCCATGAAGCAGCTGGTAGGTTTGAACCACCGACCTTTCGGTTAGCAGCCAAGCACTTAACCACTGTGTCACCAGGGCTCCTTTCTTTCTTCATGCTGTTGTTATGTGCACTCGAGTCAGTTCCAACTCATAGCAACTGTCTTAGTCATCTAGTGCTGCTATAACAGAAATACCACAAGAGGATGGCTTTAACAAACAGAAGTTTATCCTCTCACAGTCTAGGAGGCTAGAAGTCCAAGTTCAGGATGCCAGCTCCAGGAGAAGCCTTTCTCTCTCCATCCACTCTGGGGGGAAGGTCCTTGTCATCAATCTTCCCCTGGTCTAGGAGCTTCTCAGCACAGGGACCGCAGGTCCAAAAGATGTGCTCTGCTCCTGGCACTACTTTCTTGGTGGTATGAGGTACCCCTGTCTCTCTTCTCTCTTTTATATCTCGAAAGAGATTGACTCAAGACACAACTTAATCCTGTAGATTGAATCCTGCCTCATTAACGTAACTGCCTCTGATCCTGCCTCATCAACATCATAGAGGTAGGATTCACAACACATAAGAAAATCACATCACATGATAAAGTGGGGACAATTACACAATACTGGGAATCTAGTATTGGGCCTAGCCAAGTTGACACACATTTCTGGGGGACACAACTCAGTCCACAACAGTGACTTATGTACAACAGAATGAACTACTGCCCAGTCCTATGCCATCCTCACAATCCTTGTTATGCTTGAGCCCATTGTTGTAGCCACTGTGTCAATCCATCTCATTGACGGTCTTCTTCTTTTTCACTGACCCTCTACTTTACCAAGCGTGACATCCTTCTCCAGTGACTGGTCCCTCCTTATCATGTTCAAAGTATGTAAGACAAAGTCTCACCACCCTTGCTTCTAAGGAGCATTCTGGCTGTGCTTCTTCCAAGACTTGTTTGTTCTTCTGGCCGTCCATGGCATATTCAATATTCTTCATCAACACAGTAATCAAAGGCATCAATTCTTCTCCAGTCTTCCTTATTCATTGTCCAGCTTTCACATGCATATGAGGTGACTGAAAATACCATGGTTTGGATTAGGCACAATTTAGTCCTCAAAGTGGTGTCTTTACTTTTGAACACTTGAAAGGGGTCTTTTGCTGCAGATTTTCCCAGTGTAATGTGTCGATTGGTTTCTTAACTGCAGCTTCCATGGGCATTGATTGTGGATCCAAGTAAAATTAAATCCTTGACAACTTTAATCTTTTCTCCATTTATCATGACGTTGCTTTTTGGTCCAGTTGTGAGGATTTTTGTTTTATATTGAGGTGTAATCCATAAGGAAGGCTGTGGTCTTTGATTTTCATCAGTAAGTGCTTCAAGTCCTCTTCACTTTCAGCAAGCAAGGTTGTGTCATCTGCATGTCACAGGTTGTTAATGAGTCTTCTTTCAATCCTGATGCCCTGTTTTTCTTCATATAGTCCAGCTTCTGAGATTATTTGCTTGGCATACAGATTGAATAAGTATGGTGAAAGGTTACAACCCTGACCAACACCTTTCCTGACTTTAAACCATGGAGTATCCCCTTGTTCTTTTCGAATGACTGCCTCTTGGTCTATGTATAGGTTCCTCATGAACACAATTAAGTGTTCTGGAATTCCCATTCTTCCCAGTGTTACCCATAATTTGTTATGATCCACACAATCAAATGCCTTTGTATAGTCAATAAAACACAGGTAAACATCTATCTTTCTGGTATTCTCTGCTTTCAGCCAAGATCTATCTGACATCAGCAATGATATCCCTTGTTCCATGTCCTCTTCCGAATCCAGCTAGAATTTTTGGCAGTTCCCGGTCGATGTACTGTTGCAACTATGTTTTGAATGATTTTCTGCAAAATTTTATTTGCATGTGATATTAATGATATTGTTCAATAATTCCACGTTCTGTTGGATCACCTTTCTTGGGAATAGGCACAAATATGGATCTCTTCCAGTCAGTTGGCCAGGTAGCTGTCTTCCAAATTTCTTGGCATAGATGAGTGAGCACCTCCAGCGCTGCATCCGTTTGTTGAAACATCTCAATTCGTATTCCATCGATTCCTGGGGCCTTGTTTTTGCCAATGCCTTCAGTGCAGCTTGGACCTCTTCCTCCAGTACTAGCAGTTTTTGATCATATGCTACCTCCTGAAATGGTTTAACATCGACCAATTCTTTTTGGTATAGTGACTCTGTATTCCTTCTATCTTCTTTTGATGTTTCCTGCATTGTTAAATATTTTCCCCATAGAATCCTTCAATATTGTACCTTGAGGCTTGAATTTTTTCTTCGGTTCTTTCAGCTTGAGAATTGCTGAGCGTGTTCTTCTCTTTTGGTTTCCTAACTCCAGGTCTTTTCACGTTTCATTATAATACTTTACTTTGTCTTCTCGAGCCTCCCTTTGGAATCTTCTGTTCAGCTCTTTTACGTCATCATTTTCTGAATCGTTTTGGCTACTCTACATCCACGAGAACCAAAATACAACCTTGAGTACATCCCACCTGAATTTAGAGACCATCTCAAGAGTAGAGTTGATGCATTGACCACTAATAACCAAAGACCAGACGAGTTATGGAATGACATCAAGGACATCATATATGAAGAATGCAAGAGGTCATTAAAAAGACAGGACAGAAAAAAAAAAAAAGACGAGAATGGATGTCAGAAGAGACTCTGAAAACTTTTTTCATAGTTCTTCATAGAATCTATTAACTATTTGTTTATTTGTTGACTCTCTGCCTTCCAAAGCTGAATGGAAGCCCCATGATGGCAGACATCTCTTTCTCTTGCTTATCACCGTGTTCTCGGCATCTACAACAGTGCCTGCTACATGGTGAGTACGCAACAGCTGATTTTTAGATCAGCAAATGAATGATGAATGATTTAGTGCTGAGTGTGCTAGGTAGAGAATTAGGGCACCATTCCTGCCTTCAAGTAGCTTACTCTTTTGTGTCCTAATACTATTTATCTTGTTAAAGGAACTTGACATGTAAATGGGGTTTTCCTCTCCTTCTCTGCAGTCCCTGGCACACACGCTTTGTTCTTTCAGGATTCCATTGTGTCCTCTGTCTTCAGATATAGCCATCGAGGGGCTCTCACCGTCACCTTCCACTGGGCTACTACTTGGAGGTGGAAGGAATGGGAGTGAAGAGGGTGAAGGGATTGTGGAAATGGTTTAATAAGTGGTGGGCTAGGAAGGCGGAAGAAAATCCATTAGATCACTTAGTAGACAAGTAACTAAGCTAATACATTCTCTGTTAATTGTTGGGTCCTTCCTGACCTTGACCTGAAGTCCATATTTAAAGTGAAAGCTTCTCCATGAAGTTCTAAAACGGTTTAATTTCTTTGTTCTAAGAAGACCTCACATACTGCCTGCAAAAGGATACGGTAGCCTCGTGAAATATTTATATAATGCTGACACAGTAATAGAAATTATGAAAACCATGTGGGTATGTGTCAAACTCATGTCTTTCAGTAATCACACCTACTGCACAGACATAAACAAGATGTTCTCCCAAAAGAGTCTTCACATCAACCATTTCATCCATCTGTTGCACTCAACTTGTAATCTTACGGCGAAGCCTCCCTATTTTTGTGGGTTACAATGGTTAATTTTTGAAATCACACACACACAGATTACATAGTTGCTGAGAAATGATCATGTCATCAACACATAAATTAACACAACCCACACAGTGCACTTCAGCCAAATACATTAACATGACTTACCAAAAACTAAGATAAACATCAATTACCTCCATTCCGTAGTGCACTTAGTAACAGTAACAATACCTGGAGTTAATACAACACCTTTCTTCCTGAGGGCTCAAATCTTAGAGCAGTTGACTGCTCACTCATGTGAGGTGAATTAATGTTCCATGTCACCTGGGTACCATTTTGCCAGTGACTTTGTCTGGTGTAATATGTGGCATTCTGGTACCCTGATTCTTATTGGGTCTCAACTAGACAAACAGCATGTTTCCAGAAAGAAGTATCATTGATGTCAGCACATCATTAAATTGAACTCCATTTGAACAGGGACTAATGGTGACAAAATTAAAAAGACTTTTCTTGCATAAAAACACATGGCAGCAATACACTGGACAGTTTACATTAGAACATTTGAGACACTTCACTATACCTCCTTCTCCAGTTCTTCATATCTACTTACATGTGAGAAAGATTCCTCATGGGTTGAAACATTCGTGTGCTTATCCTTGGAATCTCTATCCTTGCCAGGTCTCTAGAAAACACACACAAATACATTCAATGTTTTGATGCCTTAATTTAGTGTCATAAACATTGTGTTCCGTTTTGATCCAAGGCCCAGTGGATGGATCCTGATCAAAAGGAGGGAAAACTGTAGAACAGAACTTCAAACTTACATGGAAGTCAGACTTACTAGATCCATTGAGACTGGGGGAACCCCCGAATGTAATGCCCAGTGATAATCTTTAAAACGAACTGAAACTATCCCATGATTCCATTTTTAAACTAAACAACAGTTTAGCCCAATTAGTAAAGAATGTTTGCTTCAGGCATAGAGTTCTTATAAAGAATTATCCATATGAGTGTAAACTGACACCAGTTAATCCAAAGCACAGATGAGAATGTTGAGGGACAGAGAACCTAAATTAATGGTGATGACGTAACAATAAATGTTGAGATAGAATGATGGCATAATGTGAAGTATGGAACCAACGTTATTGAACTTTTCATGTAGAAATTGTGAATGGATGTATGTTTGGTTGTGTATATTGCCACTAAAAATAAATAAAATCTTTTTATAACTTACTCTTTGTCAAATCCTGAGTGAAATGCTTCAAAATCTTATGTTACCACTTGAAATTAGGATGACAATTTTACAGTACTATGGTAGAAAATTTCCGTACCTATTTATGCCTCCTGTAAGTTAGAACTGATTTTGTCACTTCACAGGAAGAATTATATTCTCATCGAGTGCTCTCATTCATTTATTCGATTTAGAAATAGCACTAGAGATTTGCATGATTATGAAATTGGCTCTGTAGTTGAATTTTATAAACTAGGTCAGGAAGCTGATACTTCTGAACTCAGGGCATCACTGAAATGAGGTTTCTGAGAATCCAGATTTAAAAGCAGGCATTTCTGCCCAGCTTCTGTGTCTTTTGGATGGGAAATGATGGATGCAACAGTCAAAACACAGCCAGAGTCAGCAAAAACCCACTGCTGCCAAGTTGATTCTAACACATAGAGACCCTACAGGACAAAGTAGAACTGCCCCATAGGGTTTCCAAGGCTGTAATCTTTATGGAAGCAGACCGCCATGAACCACTGACTTTTGTTAGCACCCAAGCGCTTAACCACTGCACCCCCTGGGCTCCTTTGGAGGTAGCAAGAGAAGCTCCAATTGAGGACAAAGGTTTCCTAAGACAGCGAGGAGAAGGACAGTTCCTTTAAAATTCCTCCAGCCCCCATAAGATGTCCTTAGAAGGTGCCAAGGATAATCCCCATTCTCCTCATCTAAGGAGCCCTCGTGGCGCAACTGTTAAGCACTCAGCTGCAAACCAAAAGGTTGGCAATTCAAACCCACTCAGTGGTTCTATGGAAGAAAGACCTGGCAATCTGCTTCTATAAAGATTTAAAAAAAAACCATTGGCGTCAAATTGATTCTGACTCATACTGACCCTAAAGGACAGAGTAGAACTGCCCTATAGGGTTTCCAAGGCTGTAATCTTTAAAGGAGCAGACTGCTGCATCTTTCTCCCACACAGTGGCTGGTGGACTTGCACCAGATGCTGGTATTTCACTTAGCAGCCAGTTGCTAACCACTGTGCCACCAGGACTCCTCCCCATAAAGATTATAGCCCAGGAAACCCTATGGGCAGTTCCCCTCTCACATGGGGACGCTATGAGTCAAAATCAACAGCACTCAACAACATACTCTTCATTTATCCAGAAGCTTCTTCAAATACGGGTTCTTTGAAGACCTTTTTAGGATGGTGTGAATAACGGGCATTGGTCATGTTCTCTGGAAATGTAGATGGAAAGGGAACAATTCAAAACACAGAAGCCTTTCGCTTTTAGTATTGATTTTGGCTGATGTCTGGGTCTCACTTTCCTTGGTTTCTGTGTTGACTAATCTGAATGAGGATTTCTGGACATGGCTCTGAGTTCTCTTTGGCTCCATGAGTCCTTCTGGAGGAACCACCTTGGCTTTTCGGCAGCCAGAAATGAACCCTGGAGGAGCTATTCTATGACTAAGCCATCACATGGCTTCTCCAGCAGGGAACTTTGCATCCTTAGTAAAGGTCTTTTCCCTTCTTTCAGAGGAGCCCCAGTGGTGTGGTGGTTAAAGCACTCGGCTGCTAACCAAAAGGTGGGCAGCTGGAACTCACCAGTCATTCTGCAGGAGAAAGATGCAGCAGTCTGCTCCCACGAAGATTACAGCCTTGGAAACCCTATGGGGCAGTTCTACTCTGTCCTATAGGGTCGCTGTGAGTCAGAGTTGGAGTTCACGCGACGGCAATGTGTTTGGTTTTGGGTCCCTTGTTCCTTTTGCTCTTGAGATTCTCCTTGACTTATCCCTGTTTTAGCTTTATTATGTGTTGTGTGGTTGTTTGATTAATGGTCTGTAGTTTCCAAAAGGGGAGAAGCCATCATATCCTGAGTGTCCAATACCATGTCATGCTCTGCTCTTCAATGTTTGTAAATGAATCAGAAGAAAGAGAAAAGAGACAATAAAGAAAGGAAAGAGGTGAAGAAAGGCAAATATGGAGTAAATAACTGCTACTTGGACTTTCAGAAAGGCATTATGTGGTGACTTGATAATTTTGTTCTCAGAAATGCAGCATGTGATGAGTAAAGGGAAGCATCGTTTTGCTCACATCCTGAGGTCTGTTCTTATATTTAAAACCAATGGGTTATTTATATATCTTTTGGTTCTAGGCTGAGCTTCCTTAAAATGTTAAAAAGCGAAGACATAACTTTGAAGACTAAGTTGCGCCTGACCTAAGCCATGGTGTTTTCAATCACCTCATACGCACGCGAAAGCTGGACAATGAATAAGGAAGCCCGAAGAAGAATGTATGCCTTTGAATTATGGTGTTGGTGAAGAATATTGACTATATCCTGGACTGCCAGAAGAACAAACAAATCTGTCTTGGAAGAAGGGCAGCCAGAATGTTCTTTAGAAGTGAGGATGTTGAGATTTAGTCTCACATACTTTGGATATGTTATCTGGAGGGAATAGTCTCTGAAGAAGGACATCATGCTTGGTAAAGCAGAGGGTCAGTGAAAAAGAGGAAGACACTCAATGAGATGGATTGACCCAGTGGCTGCAACAATGCGCTCAAACATAGCAACGACTGTAAGGATGGCACAGGACTGGGCCGTGTTTCATTCTGTTGTACATGGGGTTGCTATGAGTCGAAACCGACTTGATGGCACCTAAGGACAACAACAAATGGTTGAAAACTTAAAATACTAAACAAAATTATTCCTCTGAGTGTTCGTGTTTGTGGGATAATTTTTTCCTTACAGGGAAAAGTTGAAATTATGCACTATAGACTAATGTCAAATAGATTAGTGTAAGAAAGGGGGAAAGCAAAAGACATGCAAGCCTTGGGTAATTTGTTTTTACCAACCTTCTATTAACAACTCTTACAAGTTTAATTTTTTTGTGTGCAAAATGTAGCATAAGATTTTTTCATATTAACCCAGTTTTTAGGAAGGTACTCGATGTAGCATCAGGCATAGAAATAGTCTTTGCACGTGTTGAAACAGTAAAAATTTGAGGCTTTGTTATCATTCAGTACACATCTGATGGTAACATAGTATTCACTGTTGTCTGAGGATGCATGCTCAAATTAAAAGCTCTCCTGTGTTTGAAATACTCGTTAAAAATAAGTGTGTCTCTAAGTAAAGTACATCTACTAAAATCATAATCAACATACTGCAAAGTTTCACTTCCAGAGACTGAAGTTGTTTAAGGCTTTCTGAGTGGTTCTTGTGGAGGTACAAAAGAGGATTGGATGACAGATTCCTTTGGTGCCATAAGAAAGAAGGGGGAAAAGCATTAGGCTGTTATTATATTGGAAGCTTAAGACCTTGCCATTTAAATCTGATTATGGTGAGAAGAAGGACTTACAGTTTTTGGAGACGCTTCAGGTCGTGAAAAATGTGGGGTGGTAACTCCACTATCAGATTGTTGGACAGATTCCTGTTGGTGATAGTGGAAACTGAAAACAATTACATTGGAAACAAGTGACGTCCTTATTCCGCCTCACAGTTATCATCGTCCTATTTGATGGAACAGAAAGTATGAATCTAGTCAACCTGATAACTGGTTGCACAACACCAAGGCTGTGTGAGTCAGCCCAATGGATGTGTTTCCGTCCCTTTCCGAGATGTCACGTTTTTGCTCATCCAGTGCCTGGCTGGAATGTCCTCTCACCCCTCTCCAACACATTCCCAGCCTGGATTTAATATCCATTTTGATTAATTTCATCCCTTTTGGGTAAACTCTTCGTACACTTCTGTTGCACATTGTTTGGGTGATTCCTGCTTGGTTCTTGCAGGTGGTACTTTGCTCATCCAGCTGTATTGGAAGCTTTTAGAGGTCAAGACCTGTGTCTTCTGTTTATTTTTCATTCCAGCTAAGATAGTATTGGCCACACAATATTTTCCTAGTTAATCTTGAATGGATAAGTTCACACATTTTAAATATGTTCTTATACGGGACTGATTCTGTAGAAAAAATTGAGGGCTTAAATTAAATATAATAGGACTATCACAGGCAAATAACTCTGGAATGTGGAAAAGAGATCTGTTAGAGTCGGAAGAAATCAGGGCTCCTTAAGGGTCAAAAGTAGCCCTCTGAACCAGAGAAAACATTAAAGGTGAAACAGATATAAAATTGCCTAATTAAGAGTTCAACAAAGTATTTGATATATTTTTGATGCTTACATGGGAGTTACAAACAACTAAGGCTTAGCTATTTTTTCTGAAGGAGCCCAGGTGATGCGACCGTTAAGCACGCAACTGCTAACTGAAAGGTTGACGGTTCAAACCCACCCAGTGGCTCTGTGGGAGAAATCTGTCCTATAAAGATTCCTCCCACCACCGCCCCCCTCAAAAAAAAAAAAAAAAAAACCCATTGCTGTGATTCCAACTCACAGCAACCCTATAGGACAGAGCAGAACTGCCCCATAGGATTTCTCAGGAGCAGCTGGTTGATTCAAACTGCTGACCTTTTGGTTAGCACCCAAGCTCTTAACCACTATGCCATCAGAGCTCCCCGGTAAAGATTATAGCCTTCAAAACTCTGTGGGGCAGTTCTACTCCGTCACATGGGGTCACTATGTGTTAAAATCAACTTGACAGCACCCAACAACAATAACGGTTTTTTTTCCTAAAGAAGCTTAAATTAGAGTAAACACCTAGCTTATAAAACAAGGAAAGAACGGAACAGGTGCTATGGCAGAAGTTCAGACAAAACCAAGAGGAAGGCGTTGTCCATGTTGGCCTAGGAAATGAGGAGATGTCTACATGGAGGGTGGAGTAAAGGAGCAGAGCTTTCAGGGGAGAAGCGAGCGCTATCAGAGGAAGGGATGCTTGGAAGTCAACGGCATGTTCAGGAGCCAGCAAGTGGTCCAGTGTGGGTGGAGGATAGGAGGTACGGGGAGAGGTAGAGGAAGGTGAAAGTGCCCTGGTGGCACAATGGTTAAGTGCTTGGCTGCTGACCCAAAGGTCAGCTGTTCAAACTCACCCAGCAACTCTGTGGGAGAAAGACCTGACAATCTGCTCCCATAAAGGTTACAGCCTCAGAAATCCTATGGGGGAGTTCTACTGTGTCCTACAGGGTAGCTATAAGTCAGACTATAGTCCAAAGTTGACTCAATGGCACCTAACAACAATAATATATATATAAATGAGACATGATCCCTGCATTTAAGGCGATATAAAAAAACAAAACAAAACACCGAAACACCCAAACTCATTGTTGTAGAGTCGATTCCTGTCCTTACGGAAGCAGATCACCACGTTTTTCTCCCACAGAGTGGTTGGTGGGTTCAAATCACTGACCTCTCAGTTATCAGCCAAGAGCTTAACCACTGCACAACCAGGGCTCCTTCAAGGAGGTATGGCAAACACGTATTATCACTCCCAAGCACATGTTTATATAAAATCCCCCAAAGAAAACAGATAGGGAAACTAGGGTAGGCTAAATTCATATTAAGCCCACCGTCGGATTTTAATGTACTTTTGACTTAGGATAGTATTAGTTTTCTTGTTTGATTTTTAATATCTGGTAGTATACAGGATTTTGGGGACATGTTATCAGGAAGGACCAGTCCCTGGAGAAGGACATGCTTGGTAAAGTACAGGGTCAGTGAAAAAGAGGAAGACCCTCAACAAGACGGATTGACGCAGTGGCTGCAACAGTGGGCTTAAGCATAACGATTGTGAGGATGGCGCAGGACTGGGCAGCGTTTTGTTCTGTTGTACATGGGGTTGCTGTGCGTCGGAACCAACTCGATGGCACCTGACAACAACAACAATACAGGATTTTGATTGCTACTACAGGAAGAACAATCTTACCCATCATCTAAATTGATAATCTTGGAAGAAGCAATCGCGTTTTCCTAATAGACAATTGCACTTGCAGTTCTCCTAAATTTTGTAATGACGAGAATGTCTTCTCTGGAACAAAATCAATTTGATTTCTCGGCAGGAACCTGCAAGACATGTGGAGAGTCAGCACCGTTGGTTGTCGTCTGCTCTAATGATCAGTTTGGAGCTTGGCTGCTAACTGAAAGATTGGAGCATTAAGTCCCTCCAGAGGTACCTCAGAGGAAAGGTCTGGCAATCTACTTCCAAAAACTCAGTCATTGAAAACCCTATGGAGTGCAGTTCTACTCTGACACAGATAGGGTTGTCATGAGTCGGAACTGACTCCACAGCAACTGGTTTTGGATGGAATTCGTTTAGTTCTCCAGTCTCCTCTCTCATCAATTATCCATGAGAAGAAGAATGAACTCTGCATCTCGTAAAGGGAATAAGATGCCCGTCAATATGCAATCCGACTGTAAGCTTTATCCCCTGGTTTGCTGGAGAGAAGGGGTTAGAATACTACAAATGGATATACTCTGCTTTTTTGTTTTTTTTTCATTTTTCCTTCCAAATACCCATCCAACCAATAAACATTATCAAGTGCTTACTATGTATTAAAACAAAATAAAAAATCCTTGTGTTTTTAAGCTTACTAGTGTAAATGTACCAATCGACCAGTCTACCTGACTCTCCAGCCCCTATGAAAAACAACATAATCACCAGTTAGAATCACCACTCAGAATCCTTTTCCCTCTTAGATTTTTTTTTTTTTTTTCCTTTAGGGAGAAAGACATCATGTGGTGAGAGCTCCTGGCAGTAACAACTAAGCATTCATTGTGTGTTGTTAGCTGCTGTCGAGTGGGCCCCCATGCACACCGGGACAAAACACTGCCTGGTCCTGCCCACGATCAGTCAGGGAGCAGAACGTTGTGATCCATGGGATATTCATTGGCTGATTTTCAGAGGTAGATTTTCAGACCTTTTTTCCTAGTCCATCTTAGTCTGGAAGCTCCGCTGAAACCTGTTCAGCATCATCACAGCAACGCACAAGCCTTCACTGACAGACAGGTGGTGACTGTGCATGGGGTGCACTGGCCGGGAACCGAACCCAGGTCTCCTGCATGGGAAGTGAGAATTCTACCACTGAACCACCACTGCTCCCAGTCTGTGGGTAGCTAACCACTGTCACAGACATCCTCTCATCTTACTGTTGACTGGGGGGTTCAGAAATTGGAGCCTCCGGGGTTAGTTCAGCCGAGAGGGTGTCCGGAAGTAATCACTGCCCTCAAAACGAGGAGAGCAGGCTGGAGACCGAAGTTAAGGCTCAGCCCCACCATCAAAACCAGCAAATCAATGTGGACTTTTTTGTATTCCAGTTTCATACCAAAACTGTAAAGGAAGCACTCATTTATGCTTTTTTTGTCAATGGTTCTTTTTGATTTCTGAATCTGTTGGTTTTCCCCTAGTTTAGGGAGTCCTTTATGTACTCACAGCACTGTGAGTGAACTGTAGGGCAGGAAGGTGGAGTTTGTAAGATACTTTATTCGATTGCCTTCCAAATCCCTGAAAGGCAAGAATGAAAACAAAAAAAAACAATTTTTTAAATTTGTTTGTACAAATCCTATGTCTAGAGATACTGAGATAAAATTCTTTTGTTGGTATAACAATTCTGAACTTTATTTTGACTTCATTCCAATTTTTACTATGCTTGCCTTCTCATTATTGCAG